GAGTTGTGCGCTGCCTTAAAAACATGGTGCAGGTTCAGTTTTTTTTTACCTCTGCCACATGCAGGCTTGCAATTTAAAATGAACATGCTGCCTTTACACAATGCATGAAAAGCACAATGCACTGCATGTTAATGGCCATGCATTAGGTTTAGGTACAATTTCAACCTGAACTATAGGAAAAAGAAAAAAATAGAAAACCCCTTCCTTTATAGTTCTGACTAAGCTTCCCGAAATCTGTCTGGTGCCTACATATCCAGTCCATGCTCACCTATAACACATCACTCATTGGCTCCAGCATCCAGGGGTTTCTGTGGTTTTCCTGGTCCTGCAGATTCGGTCACCTGTTCTACGCTCTCAAGAGTGCTCAGAAACTTTGTCCTGTCATCAGCATTGGTGCCTATTCCACTCCACATCCTTACATCCCCGTTGCCATCTCCAGAGGTGTGGGACAAGAGAGGTATGGGTATCCCCCTTATCAGCTCGGTCTCCAGCCAGGTACATAACAGTTAGATGGCGGACACTTGCTGTGTACACTCTGGGGTCTATTCACTAAGCTGCCGTAGGCAGCCGAGTGAATGACCGACCTAAAGCGAAGTGAGCCGAACGCTGTTTGGCTATTCACTTCAGGCTGGTACAGCTGATTTCAGCCATATATCGGCTGAAATCAGCCGTACATCAGGTGGCTTCGGGTCGGCTGAACATGCTCAGCATGTTCGGCCGACCCGAAGTGCAGAAGGAGTTCGACTCAGCCAATCCAACATCTGGATTGGCTAAGCCGAACCTGCGGCAGGCTACTTGCTGCGGTCTATTCTTATAGATGCCGAACAGCAGTGAGTGAATAGCTCGGCTGTTCTGCTCGGTCCCTCTGTGGTACCGAGCAGAACAGAAAAATAGTTTAAAAAGTAGAAATAAATAAATAGAAAACTATTGTGCAGAGCTAGCAGTGACAGCTAGCTCCGCCCAACTGTTTTCTATTTGCTGGCAGTTCTGCTGCCGTCAAAAAAACGAAAAAAAACTCTCCCGGTCGCTCCGGGAGTCTCCCGCACCCAGCCGCCAAGGAGAGAAACACTGCTTTTTCATTTTTTTTCTTTATTCTGACACAGCCGTTTCAGAATAGAAAAAACATTATAATTTTTGGCCATAGGAACATAAACACATGTATGAAGCTGAACTGACTCTCCTGTCTAATTCAGATATGGAACAGGTGACGTAAAAAATCTGACTGCCTTTCACATGGATCAGTTAAATGGATATATTTAAAAAGTAAAATTAACATACTTATTAAAAAAAGACAGTAAAATAAAATGTGTTTTCTTCTACTTCACTAATACTTCAATATAAAGATTAACTATTCCTCATGTATTGTGCTGACATAATCTGTAATAGACCCGTCAGATCACAGCCTTCCCTCTACAGTTCAAAGTTCAGACTCTTATGAAGAACATGTAATCTACCATACGTCAAAAGTTATCCAAGTGACACTCACACAGATGTGAATTTAGAATTCCATAGCTCTGTAAAGGTCACCATATAATAAGTAATCTGTCTTACAGTTTTGATTTGTAAATAATGCAGATTAAAAATGTTCAGAAAGGTCAAATCACCCTGATCTATAGTGACAGAAGAAATATAAATTGTATAGATATTAGTGTGTAGGTTTTTATTCTGAAAATGCAAACAATGACACTTTCTAGCTCCCTAGATTTTTGTAACAAAAGGTTTTATGTATTATGGATCAAATACAATTTTCTAATTAACAGTTATTTTTTTTAGTTTCATCACATGGAAGAATTCATGGAAATAATTACATTATGTAGAAATATTTAGAAAATTATTGGATGCTTTACATTTGTACACTTTTGATAAAGTATGCTTATTGCTCAGAAACCATGTAGATTTAAGAATTACTAAATTCTCACTTTTCAAAGTGGATGTTTGCTTAGCATACTGGAAAAGGTGACACTCCATTCATGTCAGTCATCCAATCATATTCAAGCCAAATCTTGTTTTTTTTTAAATGTACTTTGCACATGACTGAGTAGTCACAGTGAACACAGCTTCATTATTTACTAAGTGAATATTCTCTACTCCTTAAGTAATTTAACAACATTGATCTAGTAGATCTGGATCTGGTGCAAGCCAGTGTTGATAAAACACCCCTTTTAACTATAATAATTATTATTTTAACAAAAATTAGTTTGCAATCTATTTTTATTAATATCAAGAAGTTGGTTCATTACCCACTCACTAAACAGGAAGTATTAAGCCATCTCTCTTATCTGTGGCACTGGTGGTGCACAGAAACCAGGTGTCAGTATCACCAGCATCAAGCTGGTGCTTTGAGGGGAGCCAAATTATTTTAGACCCACTTGTTAAACCACATGTCTAATGCTGAACATCATATGGTTTATAACAGCAAAACATGAAACTATCACACTTGTGGCATGTGGGGTGTTTTATTACACAATCTCCCTTTAAAAAAACAATGTAAATACTTACTTCTTCTGCTTCCAACACAATGGAACGCCGATCCATTGATTAGGAATGATCCACCAAAGTCTTCTGGGGAACCAACCAACACTTGCAGTAGTCTTGCTCTCTTTCGTTCCCAGCAGCACTCACAGATTCCTCCTGTCAATCTCCATGTCACTACACAGAGGTAATTATTTACATTACTTATTACAGGAAGCAGCTTAACTTTAATTTGCAGGTTGACACCAGGGTCATTTCAATCCAAGTAAATTAATTTACTAATTTCTAATAGTAAGTGGTAGGAGAAAAGCCAAGTGCTGACAGATAATTTAATTTAAATGATATGTTCACCCAAAATTGTACACTATTGAAACCATAATATGTTTAAAATTATACTTACTTTTACAGTCTGGAAGTTTAAAGGAGAACTGTGGGATAAGTGTTTTTCCCCATAGTTCTCCTAAGGGTCACGGGAGGACACAAACTATCGTCCTCCCGTCACCCAAAGCTCAGTATATCGCGAGCTACAGCTCGCGGTATACTGAGATCGCCGCAGCCGGGATGGATCCCGACATTACTGTCGAGATCCATCCAGCTGCATGATTGACAGCTGGCTCTGGAACACTGTGAGCAACTAGGCAGGTTGGTCATCTATCAAATTTTTTTTACAGAGATAGACTAACATTTTGGATCTTGTAAAGTGTGGTTCAAACTCAAAGGGAATAATAGGTATATGAGTAAAGCTTTACTCTGTTTGTGTTTCTGCCTTTTGTTAAATAGCCTCAACATGTTTCTAAATTTAATTAAAGTATAAATGATCTAATTTCCATTACTCATTTGTATTGCACTTCCTTCATTAGTTGATATTGTTCCCACATCAGAACTTATAATGTGTTTGATATCCACTAGCTATTTATTTTAAATATGTACAGCTCTAAACCAACTTGGAAGAAGAAATATCACTGATATGAGGCAAACATTGGAGATGCAGCATAATACATACCTGATTCTCAGTGCTGTGTCAGTGAGCACTCATCTATCTTGCTCTTCACTTTGGCATTGGAATGTCCCTCTGTGTCTTCACTCTGATGCAGCTGCATTAGACTGTATCACACATTAAACTCCCCCCTTTGTTCTGGGGCGGGAGGGGCCATCATGGTGCAGTGAAGTCAATGGCACCGCAGCCACACCCCATGCATGCAGTGTGGTCTCCCACACCGTAGCGCTAACACTCTGGAACGCACTGTAACTGGTGTGAATAAACCCTAAAACCCAGTGTCTTCTATTTACACTGTGGCTCCTCTGACTGCTGTAATCTTAAAGGGTCGTTTACACCTTTGCCCAGAATGCAAGGGATAGCATACACAAAGTCTCCTTGGGTTTTGGGGTGGGAGGGGGTGTTTCAGTGCCATTCATGTCATCGGCTGCACAAGAACACATGGTAACACAATGCCCTGCATTTAAGTGTGCTGCAATCACAAACAATTGTGCATGCACTATTTTTGTGTGGTTTTGTGTGTATGCAGTTCCATTGAAATGAATGGCACTGCCTTGCCCCTCCCACCCCAGAATGCAAGGAGACTTTGTGTATGTGATCCCTTGAGTCAATGGCATTACTTTTTTTTTTGGTGGGGGGAAGGTTGCGGATGGGGTCTTAAGAAACAGGGGGCATACAACATTTTGCTATTGGGCCCTGTGATTTCTAGTTATACCCCTGCACGGGTCCTTAGACTGCTGGAGCACAGAGGAGAAGAGGCTGCAGGGACCAGTCCAGCAGCCAATTGAGACCAAGGATCAGGTGAGTATATATTTCCTAATTTTGGCCCCTAGACCAAAATGAGCAATTGAACCTTGCAGTGCAAAGGTCAAATTTTACATTTCCTGGTTTTCTTTAATCTATTCCAGTATAATATTCAGAGTACAGGGCTGAGGTAGCAGTGTTCTGCTTGAATACAGATACAATTATATTATTAGTAGGGGTAACTGGTGGATTTTTACATTAGTAGTTCTTACAATTGGAAATCAAGACTGCTTCAAGACATTGCAATAATAAAAAAGTGGGCCCCCTTTAGGAAATACATTTTTTTATTCCAGAAGCAGATTGTATAAAAAATGTAGTATAGAACAATGAATAATAATTTTACATTTGTAAAGTCGGCTTTCTTACATGTTAAAATTTGAGAAGAAACCTTTTATGTCTGGAAATCCCATGTGTACATTAGCGTATTCCATTTGTAGAACATAAACAACATGGAAAAGAGTCTGGACTTAACGCACCAGGCTGTCGTGGAGGGGGGTCAGGCTGAGGAGGGGGGGTTGGAGCAGCGGGAACCGTTACAAAAACTAGAGGCCATCACCTAAAATTGATGGAAAAAAAATTCCAGCACAAGGGGCGAAGGGGGTTCTTCACAGTAAGATCAGTTAGGGTCTGGAACTCACTGCCACAGGCGGTGATTTCAGCAAATAATGTGGAATTGCTCAAGAAACTTTTGGACGATTTCTTAAGGGACCGTAATATACAGGGGTACGGGTACTCCTAGAATGAGATCCTAATAGGTTGGACTTGATGGACTAATGTCTTTATTCAACCTCAAATACTATGTCAAATACTATGAACATGAACAATCAAGCTTTACTAGTAAGAAGTTTTTGGGTCTTCTCTCTTTAGTACCATTTACCTCATTATTAACATGTTGGTGTTGAAACCACTTTGGTAATTTTTGAAAAACACTGTCAGGGATACCGGCACAGGTGACCCCACACCTGTGCAGGTACCCACACAGGCAGACCAAACACTTATGACCACAATGGACAGGGCAGAATGTATTATATACAGTTTAATAAACAGCAAAACTAAACAACACCCAAAAGCAAACATAAATAAGTAACATCAACCAGACTACAAGCAGGTAATGGCAACAGGAGGAAAGGCAGGTAATGGCAACAAGAGGTATTTAGGACTGCAAATGGGTAAGCGGGCTCGGGACACAAACAGGGTACAGGACTGGTAACAGGACTCTGGACGGAAAGCAGGGTTCACCGGAACTGGGGACTCAGGGTTCAAGTTTCAGGAAACAGGAAACGATACTGAGCCATCATCCTGACTGCAGGGAGGGTTTAAATATCCTCCCAGGAAGCACCAGTTGATGGCTAAGTACTGGCAGCTGGGAAACACCCGCAGGTGAGCACTGGAGCTGCAGGTCTCAGCTCCTGCGCCACCTAGAGGCGCTCTGGATCCTAAGAGTACCACCTAGAGGCGCTCTGGATCCTAACAGTACCCCCCCTCAAGGAGCGGGCTCCGGACGCTCCACAAAAGTCCATCTGCACCACCGAGGTCCAGGGCCAAAGTTCAGGGACCAGCCAAGCACCCACCCCGCCAGGGTCAGGCATCAGGCCGAGCAGTCCACCACCTGGATCCGGAAGAAGTCTCCACAGGCCAGCAGAAGACCCAACAGAAAGGCGATGTGTACCAGGGTTCCGTAGGGCACACCCCCAGCACTAAGGAGCCTGGGTTTCAGCGGGCAGACCACCGCAATGAAACATGGGGGGCCACTAGGACCGACAGCGCGTTCAGCCAGCCACCCGGATCCTGGCAGCAGGCACTGGATCAGCGGAGGCGAAGAGCTGAGCAGCAGGTACCGGATCGTCAGAGACCAGGAGCCAGGCATCGGGGACGGGATCGTCAGAGACCAGGAGCCGGGCATCGGGCACGGGATCGTCAGAGACCAGGAGCCAGGCATCGGGGACGGGATCATCAGAGACCAGGAGCCCGGCATCGGGCACGGGATCGTCAGAGACCAGGAGCCAGGCATCCGGCACGGGATCGTCAGAGACCAGGAGCCGGGCATCGGGCACGGGATCGTCAGAGACCAGGAGCCGGGCATCGGGCACGGGATCGTCAGAGAAAAGGAGCCGGGCATTGGGCAGGGGATCAACAGAGACTAGGAGCTGGGCATCGGGCACGGGATCGTCAGAGACCAGGAGCCGGGCATCAGGCATGGGATGGTCAGAGGCCAGGCACGGGATGGTCAGAGGCAATGAGCTGGAACTCGGGCCCCGGATCGTCAGAGGCGATGAGCTGGAACTCGGGCACCGGATCGGCAGAGGCGATGAGCTGGAACTCGGGCACCGGATCGGCAGAGGCGATGAGCTGGAACTCGGGCACCGGATCGGCAGAGGCGATGAGCTGGAACTCGGGCACCGGATCTTCAAAGACCAGGAGCTGGGCAGCAGGCACGCAATCATCGGAGACCAAGAGCTGGGCAGCAGGCACGGGATCATCGGAGACCAGGAGCTGGGCAGCAGGCACGGGATCATCAGAGACCAGGAGCTGGGCAGCAGGCACGGGATCGTCAGAGACCAGGAGTCGGGCATCGGGCATGGGATCGTCAGAGACCAGGCACGGGATCGTCAGAGGCAATGAGCTGGAACTCGGGCCCCGGATCGTCAGAGGCGATGAGCTGGAACTCGGGCACCGGATCTTCAAAGACCAGGAGCTGGGCAGCAGGCACGGGATCATCGGAGACCAGGAGCTAGGCAGCAGGCACGGGATCATCGGAGGCCAGGAGCTGGGCAGCAGGCACGGGATCATCAGAGACCAGGAGCTGGGCAGCAGGCACGCAATCATCGGAGACCAGGAGCTAGGCAGCAGGCACGGGATCATCGGAGACCAGGAGCTGGGCAGCAGGCACGGGATCATCAGCGAGGAACAGGAGCTGGATCGGACAGAACATCATCGACAGGAACAGGAGCTGGATCAGACGGAACATCGACTGGAACAGGAGCTGGATCGGCATCGACTGGAACAGGATCGTCCCGAACAGGTACAGTATCGTCTGGACTGCCTAGAACCGGAACTGGATCGGCAGGAACGGGATCGTCTCCAACAGGAATGGGATTGTTTCCAACGGCAACGTCCCGAACAGCAACAGGACTGTCCCGAACAGCAACAGGATCGTCTCCAACAGGAGCGGCGAACTGGCAGGACTGGAACGGGAAAAGGCTGGACTGGTACGAACCCTGAATATCTAAAACGGTCATCCACAGTCTCATCCTCAGAGCAGTCACTACAATCCTCCGCCTCTGAACAATCAGTCCATTCCTCAAGATCCTCCAAGTCCGGCTGAGATGTAGCCAGGAGACGTGAAGATTCTTGCTGGGTGGCCTTGGGAACAGACGCAGCCGAGTGGCAGCCTGGAGCTGATGCTGGGGAAAACCAGGAGTTGGTCTGATTATGAGTAGCAGGAGTCACTGCGGTAGTCCTGGGCAACCTGGTTAAACCCGATCGGGACCTGGAGTGGGGATTAGCCTGCATGGACCATTGGCCAGACCACGTCTGGAGCAGGGGTTGGGCAAAGGTATCTGCACAAACCCCATGGTCAACAAGGAGCTGCACTGCATGGAAACATTCCAAGAAAGTATCCCGAGAACACGCAGAGTAATGCTCAAAAAACTCATCTGGATCATCCTCTAATAGCCACACTAGCGACTCATTTTGACACTGGAATACCTCAGAAAGCGAGCAGGTCCCCGTGTGGTTGATTTGGCCGTTACTTGGGCTCAGTAACAGCCAAATCCTGGATCCTCACAGTACCACCTAGAGGCGCTCTGGATCCTAACACACACTAAAGTTAACCCAGCAGTGAATTTTCAGTTTTAGATTAATTTTCTTTTAATTTACAGAATATACTTCAAAAACTTACTTTGTGTTTAGTTTTTCTGCCTAAGAATGCTCCCTTTTTGTAGTCACTGTTATAATTAACCAATATAGAAATTAAAAAAAACCTCTTTAGAATTCAGCCCACATTTTGTAAAAGGCTTGTGGGCTTGTAAAGCTGTAATCAAGGCAAACAGCTAAATACACAGCTTAAATACATACTGTATATGTAAACTATGTACTGTCAGATGAGTGATGCCTTGTTCTGTAAGAATGAAAGCGTCTAAACCAAAGAATGAAAATGTAATATTTTGCAGCTTAAAAGTCCTGAGATTGGGGAGCTGCATGAATTGTCTTTCTTTCAGGCTAAGTACATTTTCTGAAAGTACAGAAACATTTCTATTAGATTTGCCAAAAAGCAATGTGTTTTTAACTTTGTGTGCACCTTAACTATTAACAAAAATGTATCTTATTTGTGTATCACTCAGCTGTAGATCCTCAAATCATCTCTGAATTGGTGCTGACACTGTCCTTCCTTCTGGAGGGTGGCTACTTTTCTTCCCCATTGTCCCTGTGTGTGTTGTAAACTAGCCACCGCTCCAAGCTCACTCAAGCTCACTGGTCAAAAACAGGAGATCTGCCTAGGGTAACAATGCTGCTTCTCCATAGAGACTGTACAGTGGGTAAGTATAATGGCAGGATCATTAGGCCCAAAAAAAGCCTAACATTAGAAAACTAATAAAGCTACCTCAACTAAGGACTGGTAAGCTACATTATATTAAATGTATGTCCCTTTATTTAGATTAACTTTAAGAAATACAGTGGTGTCACTCCCCTGCTGCTTTATTATTGGACAACAAAACACCAATAATTTATCAGCTATGCTCAATCTGCTCTGCTCTCTCCTCCTGTCTGCATATTCCCTGTCAGAACATATGCGTACAGCAGAGCCTGATTATCTCCTAATGCTGCTGCTTCCTTTTCCAGCCTGAGTGCTGCTGTACAGGGGATAAGATGAACCTGATATTAAGACAGATTCAGGTACTTGTCCTAGTTGTATGTAAAAAACAAACCTGATTAATTTTAAAGAATGACACAACTAAATTAAATAGTGTTTTGTTTTATAACTGCTCAGTGTTCAGCTTTTAGTATTTCATTTCCCAGCACAAGGAACAGGGCTCACGGTAACCCTAGTACTAGACACGGTACACTATCCTTTGCATTTGACAGTAGGGTTACAGTGGTGTTATACATACCTTGTTCTGTATCAGGAATTTTTTTTAACTTGCTGAGAGTTTAACTTTGTAGCAAGTAGTATAGCATGTGTGCAAGGGTACATTACCCATTAAAAAGTGTAATAAGAATTACACATATATAATAACAACAACAATGATGCTGGTGGCAGCTTTTTGACAGTTCCTTGGCATATTAAATAAACATCACTCATTGTAGTTATAGTTTGCTATTTTATTGCTGTTCAGTTGTAAAATGTATAGTTTTATAAAGCAAGTACCGAAGAAATAGGTTTAAAGCTGAATAAAAGCACATTATTTTATTATCACTGTTCTTGAAAATTCTAAAGCAGCAGTGACCAATTTCTTTCTTTGTGGATGCACATAAAAGCAGAGTTGCATCACATCTGTATTTTTAGTTTACTGGGATCAGAGCATGTTCATCACGTAGCATAACAGGTTCCATATATTAGCATTTTCTGTAATATAAGTTCAGCATATTGAAACACATACACTCTAAACTTTCTGGATTACATTTCAATCAAACTTTGCCTTTTTATTGAAAAAAGAACTTGTTTTTTCAAGAATTAATCCAGATCAAACAAATATAAATTGCCCAGCAAAGTATTTCTTTACATTGTTTCTGAACAGCTGGATCCAA